ACTTTTTAAATTAAAAAAAAAAAGAAGATATTGAAATAAATAAGACAGTCCCCTGTGTTGTTTTGTGGGGAGAAAGAACTGGATCTAGTCAATTTGGTGAGTGGAATAAAGATCTTGCCAAAACTGGTGAGCACAGGGCAAAAAATATCTTTATGAGCTCTTAAGGGAGCCCTTACAGCATTGGGTCTTGAAGGGTCAGTAGGAGCTTATTAGCTGAAGAAGGGCATTTTAAGAAAAGAGAGCACCCAACAGGGATATGCATAGAGGCAGGAGGTACAAAATATCTCTGTTAGCTGGATGTGATGGCTCATGCCTGAAACCCCAGCAGTCAGGAGGCTCACTACAAATTCAGAGTCAGCCTGGTCTACAGAGCAAGCTCCAAGCTAACCAGAGCTACATAGTGAGACACTGACTCAACCCCAGCACCAAAAAAAAAAAAAAAAAAAAGAATGAAAGTACAGAGAGAGGAGAGAGAGGGAGGAGACAGGGAGAGGAAGAGGGAGAGGGAGAGAGACAGAGACAGAGAGACAGAGACAGAATTTTTCTGCTGGTGTTTGGGGGAGGTGGATCTTGGATGGAAACATGACAAAGAAATGGACAGCTAGACAGAGGCTACAAGTGGGGCCCTAATTTCTAGGACTGGTGTCCTTAGAAGAAGCAGAGGCCGCAGGGAGACCCTGTCTCAAAAGATCTGAAAAATAAGGAGGAGGAGGAGGAGGAGGAGGAGGAGGAGAGGGGAGCAGGAAGAAATGACATGAGAGATCTCTTTCCTGGATGTGGAAAAGAAAGGTCGGTCATATGAGGGCACAGGGAGAAGGTGGCTGTCTACCTACCCTCACATAGCCAGTCCTGCTGATACCTTGATCTTGGTCTTCTGACCTCCAGGCTAGAGAGAGTGCTTCTGCTGTGGACGCTTCTAGTCTGTGGCTTCTGGTTAGGGCAGGTCTAACAGTTGAACACCCATGTCACTGAAAACTCCTCAAAGCCAGGATGCCATCTGGTCATGTCTGGATGTGATGATGACTAGTCTTCACTGACCTGACTAGATTTGAAATCACCATGGAAACATACCTCTAGGTGTGCATATGAGGGTGTTTCCAGGAAGGTTTAACGGAGGAAGGAAGACCCACCCTGAAGATGGGTGACTGAGGAAAGCAGGTTGAGCAATGGCATTCACTTCTCTCTGCTTCTTGACTGTGATCACAGGCTTCATGCTCCTGTCTGCATGACTTCCCCACCGTGATGGACAGCACCCTTGAGCCAAAGTAAAACCTTTCTTCTTTAAGTTGCTTTGGTTAGGTGTTTTGTTATAGCAATGGAAAAAAGTAACTAGCACACTGGATCTCTGCCTCTTGCAGACAATAGACAATCAATAAATACTCATTGAATTAATTATCTTAGGAAACAAAGCTCACACCACAGTTTGGAGAAAGCACTCTGCTTCTCTGAGGAGAAAAATCACTCCTGTCAGCCCAGGGCATCCCAGTGAATAAACATGGTTCTCTCAGGGTTGGAGTAGAACTCATGGATCACATGTGTACACAGATTTTGATCATGGGGTTGAAATGCAAATAAAAATCCTATTAAAATTAACACTCATTAAAAAAACCCCAATCGTCCTGTTGTTTTGTGATAGTGGGGTTTATTTAAATGAACACATTGCTAAAATTCACATTCCAAGTCTTACCAGACAAAAAGGAATTTCAGACTGTCCAGTGTATGAAGCAGATGGAGGGGAAGCCTGGAGCCCAGCTGGCAGTGTGCACTCCCTCAATCCCATTCTCCTTAAGGCTCTTCCATCATCTCATGGGTTACTCATCTGTTGTGAATGGCGGGATATTTGAGGGTGGGAAGGGTAAGGGGGTACAGTGATAATTGCTACTGACAAAACAGTCTAACTTAGAATTTAGTTCAGCCACAGTGACCCTTCCCCAGCAGCCAACAAGGACCTGGAGGTAGAATTCCCTGATGGGGAGACACACTCGCCCAGCAGGATGACTTGCCTGGGGCCGTTTCCTGTTCCTTTTCGACCCAGTTCTAGGAGTGCAGGCTCTGTCCAGTTACAAATCATCCTTTTTATACAACAACGGTAGTTGCCAGGATGTGTGTTTACCTGGTGCAAGACGGTTCATCCTACCAGGTCTTGATGTGGTAGAAAACAGTGGCAGGAACCTTAGCTGTGAACAGAGTGAGAAAAGGCTGGAGCAGGCGGCAGCATCGGCATTGGTCAGTCGCACAGGCAGCGTCCCAGAACAGTGTCTCTTACTTGCTGGCCCTCATAGAAGCACTTCCTAGGGAGAAAGAAGCTCACTGGAGCATCAGAGTACAGTGGTTAGGGCTCTGGTCCAAAACATCCTTCTTGCTGTTTAACTATGGACCCTTACCACCACAACGGGAGGTTGGAAGGAAGCCACCATTACTCTCATTTAATAAGGAAGAAAATTAAGAATTAACACCCAGGTCAAGCTCGGAGCCTCTGCAAGACACCACCTTGAACTCCTGATCTTCCTTCCTCCACCTTCCAAATGCTGGGATTACAGGCATGCACCACCACACTCGGCTTTTATGTGGTGCTGGGGATGGAACGCAGGTTTCATGCATGCTAGGCCAGCGTTTTACCAGTTGAGCTACATCCCCAACCTGCACATTAACAAGCTGTTTTCCAAAACGCTATCAATTATACCAAAATCAACAACTGAGGAACTCTTTTCACAAAACAAGCAGGCTTTTCCCCACAACTATAATTTTAGAATTCTCCAGTTTGAAAGAATATAAGTTATCTCAGCTCAATCTGAATTTATTTGACTCCTAGTGTGGTTGGATGCTCTCTTGTATTACAGGTCACGTGCATTCTTCTTTGATGAGTTTTTTCTCTGCTCTTCATTTATTGAGTTGCAAAAAATTCTTCTCCTAGAAACTAGAGTATTTATAGAAGACATCAAAAACTTAGCTTGGAATTTTCTTAAAAACACTTCCTGGGGCTGGGAGCATGGCTCAGTAGGTAAAGGATCATGTCCTGAGTCCAGATCCCTAGCACACACATAAAAGCCAGGGGACCCAGCACCGGGTGGGGCAGAGACAGGCAGATTCCTGGAGTTTGCTGGCATCCAGTGTCATCAACCTGGGTTTACTGAAAGACCCTGTCTCAAAAAATGAAGATAGATAAAGGACACCCGGTGTCGACCTCTGACCTCCAGAAGTTTGCACGTGCTGAGAACGGTCTTCACTCTCTCGATCCGTGTGGCAAATATTACAAGAGAGGCTTCGGCAGTGCACGTTGCAGTGAAGAGCCCTCTGCTATCTGCCTAACCCTGCCTGGCTTGGGCCCTCAGCTTTCAATCCAGCTGATCACAGATGCAAGCCCTAAGCCAACTAGCTTGGCCCCACCGAACCTTGGCTCCTTTGAATAATATACTTCTGGAAGGCTGGAATATGAGAAAAGCTAGAGATTGCCAGTCCGAGTCTTGTGGAAATATCAGGCCGAGGTAATTAATCAGCAAGCAGGGAGAACAGCAGGGTGGTTTCCATAACTGTGGAAGGACGTGGGCTTACAGTGCCGGGTCCTGGCAGCCCACCAAGGGCGTGCTGGTGCACCTACCTCTCCCTGCAAGTGTGAGGGTCCTGGCAGCTCTACCCAGGGCTTGCTGGTACACTCACCTCTCCCTGTAAGTGTGAGGAAGAGCTACAAGGTAGAGCTGATTACAGAGGAAAGAGAATGGGTTCAAATGCCATGTCTGGGCCACTGAGGTGGTAAAGGTGCTTGCTATGCAAGACTGATGACCCGAGTTCGATCCTCAGAACCCTTGTAAAGGTGGAAGGAGGGATCTGACTTTACAACGTTGTCCTCTGACCTCCATATGTGCACCCACACATACACATGCATATCATACACACACACAATAGTAACAATAAAATTGTTAAATTGAACGAAAATAAATTATAGCTTTATATTTGCACAAGCTTTCTCTAGAGACATCCCCTCCCACATTCCTGCTCACTTGGGCTCAGTCCTCCCATGGCCTTAGACTCCCAGCCTGCTACGTCCCTTCTGAAAGAGAGGGAGGAGAGAAGTGGGGGAGGTGGAGAAAGACAGACGGAAGGAGGGAGGCATAAGGAAAGACAAGAAAAAGAGAAAAAAGCCAACGAATCTAGTGGAGGAGGAGTGGGCATCTGAAACTTGCGTCTGTTTCCAGGCAACCACAAAGAGAGACTGACCCCAGGCCAGACCTTGCTGGTGTGGGGATCTGGAGAAAAGGGTACATTCTTCAGTGTGTGTGCACGTGTGCAGTAACCTGGACAAACAGAAAGCCATTTGTGAGATGGAATTTCCATGGCAGAGAAAGGTGCTGATGGGAATGTGTGTGGCAGGAACACCTGTCCTGTGTTAAGTGCATCGTCCCATCATCCTCACACCACAGTCACCAGCACATGGAAGCAGAGGCGTGTCCCCATTCCAAGTATATGGCAGAATCTATTTAGAGCACTGCTTTGAAAGGGAATTCTGTCCCCTTTGGGGCATTTAGCATGCCTGGTGATGTTTGGGGTTCAAGCCGAGAGGGGTGTACTAACGGCATCTAGTGACTAATTGTTCTTTAAAAAAATGCAGAACAGCCACACAACGGAGACCTATCCAGTCCCCAGTGTCCACGGTACTGAGGTGAACCCCCCTGCTCTAGAGGCTGGCTGGTCACCACCTTCTTATTGTCACATACAGTAATATGTCAACATCCTTATACTCCTTGCCAAATTACCCTGCACAGCCTGCCTGGGAAATATTGCTAAGACACATCAAAGATTTTGCTTAATAGACACTCTTTCACTACTGGGCTGGACAGGGCTTCATAAGCCACCAGAAGCTAGTATAGATACAGGTGACAACTAAGGAAAAGCAAAGAGAGAGCCATCCAACTTGCCTCTGGTCATGCCCAGTGGCTTCTGGTCCAGCAGATCCTTCAGGGGACTCAAGCACTGTCACAGCCATTTTAGCCCATTTCCTCTCTCATTCCTGAAGCAGCCTGGGAAACATTCGAATCCACTATCCCGTCCTTGAATTGATCCTAAGTTTCTCCCCTAGGTCATAAGTCAAGATAATGAAAGCTACTGTAGAAGTTTCAACCCTAAAGTTGGAAAACAATGTCTGGGAACAGTTCCCCCAGCAAAAAGCAAATTTCCCCAAATGAAGACAGTGGGAGACAGAAGTTTTTGCCAACACACACTGACAGCACACATCTAACACTCCACGGAAAACAATCAGCACAGAAATCGCTGCCGGGTGACAGGGCTCTATAAGGGGAGGATCTTACTCTGGTTGTCAAGAGCATCGGAACAATCACACGCTGGGGTGCAGACTCACTGGAAGGGTCAGAGGTGACAACAGGGCCTTTGTGTCTCGTGGCAGCCATACCCTGCCAGTCCGTAGGGCTCCCGGTCCCAGCATCTCCAAAGACGGCTGCAGACTCTGTCTCTGAAGTCAGAGCTGCTCTCCCACTGATGAAAATATTTGCGACATGCCAAGCAGATGGTCCCCACGCTTATCAGCAGAAGCCGTGCTTCAAATGGCATCATTTGCTGACACACAAGTGAAAATCTGTACACTGATCCACAGCGGGAACGGGCTGGGGATAACACAAGGTGGCTCGTCACCTTGACCCATCAGGGCCAGCCTGGACTAAGGAGATAGATGCCCCTCAAGAAATGCTATATGGAAGGACAGAAGATATAGAACCATTCCTATTCCCAGCCGAACTCAGAAACCATCATGTGACCTGTGTTGCGCTCTTGAAGACTATCTTCTTAACTGTAAAACAGATTTAACAATATTACTTCAAAAAGGTGTGAAGATTAAAGAAGGTGTATGTTTAAACTGGCCTAGTGGGAGGCACACAGATAAATAATTCAATATTCATTCTTATCCTGCAAGACCTTGAGTGTGTAATGCACAATTTAGTGCAGAAAGTTGGGCTGAATTGATGGAGAAGAGGGGAACCCAAGAAACTGGGGTGTGGGGCCAAAGGGGTGTGTCTGCCCCCCTGGTAGGCTAATTCCTTCACAGGAGCTGCTTTTCCTGTTAGATGCATATACTCACACAAGCAGCTGGGAACAAAACATTAAATGGCTTTTCCCCTGACCCCTACCCACTTTTCTCAAAGGTAAAGCTGAGCAGGAAAATTCTTGGTCACCTGGATCTCAGGTTGCCAAGCTCATGATGGACTGCTATCTTCCTTCCACACCAGTTCATACTTCCTCTTTTCAGAGAGATTCCTCCAGTTACCATGGTGAAGTAGCAATGACCCTGGGACCAGTTAGCTCAAAGGGGGATGGAAGGCGATTCCAGATGCACTGGGAAAGCTGGTGTCCACACACAAAGCTCGGCAATTCCACTCAGACTGTTTCCAAAGCAAGACAGAAGGTCCCGGCCAGGAGTCAAACTGGTCTGCAGGAAGCCAAGGGCTCAGTCTTCCCAGGGGGAAAGCAAGCACGGCGGGTGGGGGCGGGGGAGCATTCCCTGAAGACCTTCAGACCACAGCTGATCAGAGCATCAGGCACCGACAGACGGACAGATAGGGTAAATGAACAGAATAAGTGAGCTTCTGACCAGCGTGGGAAACACATTCATTACCTGATTTCGATGTTCCAAGGGAAAAGAAGGACAGCCTCCTGGAGAATTTTAGGTTTCCCAGAGGAAAGTCAGAATCTGAAAAGAAAACCTGCTAAGGCAAACTGAAAGGTAGAGAGAAGAAGGAGCACACAGTTGGGAAGGGATTCAACAGAGAAGCCAATAGGATCTGGAAAGAGCCAACGGGCTGGCTGAGACGTTCCCCAGGGGAAAGACAGGGTGAAGAGAGTGGAATGGGGCAGAATTCTCTCTGCTCCTCTATCCACATTTGCTACTTCTCAGACCCAAGACTGTCCAGATTTGATGAACAGTTGTCCCTATGAGTGCTGTGGAACCCTGAGCAGAGTGACCAACTAGAGGGATGTCAACGGGAACCCTGAGCAGAGTGACCAACTAGAGGGATGTCAACGTCGTTGTTTAAGTCAACAGAACACGGGAGCTCACCAATTTGACTTTTTTCATCTCTTAACACAACAGAGATGTCCATCCACTCTGGCAGAGGACAAGTTGTTCAATTTAGTAGTTGATACCAGTCACCAGGAGGGTGAGCTACCAGGAAGCCAGGGGGCCAGATGGTAGAAAAGAGTCTCTGGAGGGGGGAGGAACACTCACAGGAGGAGGGGGTGCTGCAAAGGATGGCTCTCCTCCCCCAGAGTGAGTGGGTGAGGGAAGGTGCCAATTGTTTTGTGACTAATTGGCACGGTTAACAAAGCAGGAACTATCACAGATGGGGCTGGAGTTTCATTTATGGATAATGAGTTATACTTAGAGAAAATACAGCAACTCATTATAAAAATAAAACTGCTTGCATTTAAGCCACAAATAGGCTGGCTATTTCTGTGCTTACTTTGCCTTTATGAGTAATCATCCTCTTGAGAGGTGGGAAGAGTTTGGGGAGAGGGGGCTATAAAAGGAGTGGGAACAGGGCTGTCTGAGCCTGGGGGAGAGAAGTGTCCGTGGCTCCCAACTTCCCTTGCAGAAGTTCTAGACTGCACTCCTGTGAACATGAGTCACACCTTCCAAAGTTCCCTAGAGAGAGAATACCCTTCTTCTACCTGTCAAATGACAGAAACATGGAGGAAGCCTTGGAGGGGCTTATGGGAGCAAGGGAGGAGAAGGCATAGTGAATCGGTCAGTTACTTTTCTTTGTGCTGTGACAAAGTGCCTGTCAAAAGCAACTAAAAGAAGAATTTATTTTGGCTCCCAGTTTGAGTATACAGTCCACCATGGTGGGGAAGTCATGATTGCAAAAGGTTTTTTTTGTTGTTTTTTGTGTTGTTGTTTTTTTTTTTTTTTTTCTTGACTATTCAGTAATGTGGAGGGTCCAGCCCACTGTGGGTGGTGCTACCCCTGGGCAGGTGGTCCTCAGTTATATAAGAAAGCTCAGGCCAGAGTGTCAATTTTTAAAAAATTGTATTCACTATTATTTGCTTATTTATTTATTTTTGTTTTTTTTGAGACAGAGTCTCCCTGTAGCCCCAGCTGACTGGAACTCACCATGTAGACCAGGCTGGCCTTGAACTCACAGAGATCTGCCTGCCTCTGCCTCCTGAGTGCTGGGATTAAAAGTGTATGCCACCACACCCAGCGTGATCGCTAAAGTTTGAGGCAGCATTCCGTTGCAGTCAGGAAGCAGAGCCCGATGAACATTGGTGCTCAGCTTCTGTGGTGGTTTGAGTGAGAAATGTCTCCTGTTGACTCAGGTGTGCGAACACTTGGTCTCCAGTTGCTGATGGTGTTTGGGGAGGCTTAGGAGGTGCAGCCTTGCTGGAGGAAGGTGTCACCGGGGGGCAGGCTTTGAGAGCTCATAGCCTCACCCCACTTCCAGTTCACTTTGTCTGTGTCACGTTTGCTGTTGAAGATGTGATCTCTCAGTCTCCTGTTCCTGCTGCCTTGCCTCCAGCACCATGCGACTCTCCTTTTGAAAATGTAAGCTCAAATCAACTCTTTCTTCCATAATTCATGTTTGGTCATGGTAATTTATCACAGCAACAGGAAAGCAATACAGGACTTGGTACCAGAAGTGGGGTCTTGCTGTGATGAAATACCATAACCAAAGCAGCTTATAGAGGAAGAGTTTGAGTTTACAGTTCCAGAGGGACAAGGAGGCAGGAACTGAAGCAGAGATCATGGAAAACACTGCTTACTGGGTTGCATCCCTTGATAATGGACAGTAACTTATAAGCCAAATAAACCCTTTCCTTCCTAAGTTGCATTTGGTCAGAATGTTCTAGAGTAACAACAGAAAAAGTGGCTAAAACAGCTGGGTTTCTCCTTTTTATTTAGTCCAGAATTCCAACCCATGAAATAGTGCTACCTGCATTTAGGGTGACCCATCTCACCTTAATTAACCTAGCCTATCTGTGACAGGCACAACCAGAGGCTTGTCTCCTGGGTGATTCAAGTCAACAATTAATGTTAACCATCACACACAGTAACCCAGACAGTCAGGCAGTGATTCTACCACAGGTGGTAGAATCCATCAGAATTATAATAGCCAAATCCATACATGGTAGAATGACAGAATCCAGAAGTGAGCCCACCAGGGTTGTAATCCCTTTCTTCCGTCTTAACTCCCATCTCTTAAAATTCCAAAGCCACTCAGTAGCTGGGGACTTGATTCTGAGCTAACCTATGGAAGTTGGGTGCATTCCAGTTGCATTCTCAAATGTGTCCCTCATTTTAAACAAATCCTAGACATTGATGCTTGATTACAGGAAGAGAGACTCATGTGTGTCACAGAATCCCAGTGTTCCCCTTTAACTTAGAAAGCTGAGAGAGCTGGAAGAGAGTGGTAATTCGAGGGACAGAAGGAAGATGGATCAGACACACAGCACACACTGGCAGGCAGCCCAGTGCACACTGTGCTGGTCCACCATTTGGAGCAGAGCAACTTCAGGTATGCTAGAAATTTGAACTTGCAAACTTGCCTAAGTGGTTCTGTATCTCATCTTTCTGATTGACAGGCTCTCAGAGTAGAACTGGTCCCACCCTCTGCCCTCAGATCCTGCAACTCTTCAGATCTCAGCAACCAGATAAAAGTCAAAGATAAAACCCTGAGAACAGAACTCTCAAGGGCCCATCTGATTCTATTAGCCTCGGGGAACCTTCTCTCCTACCCTGCCCAGGGTTTGACTGAATCTGTTCCATGCGATGATCTTCACTTTCAGAGCACATATCTTAAACATCAAGTCTGAAGGATACTTGGCACTTCCTACCTCACTCCAGCTAAACAGGTCCACATGGTAAGAACAATCTGGAAGGCAGAAACCGTATAGGTATGAAAAGAGAAATCAAGTTGCCCTGGGACGACAGATATAGCCCTTCTAGATAAACCCTGGGAAGGGTGCAGATGGATCGCAGCTGCAGACTGAACTTGGCACAGAAGAGACTAAGGCCCAGGCCCTAGTGCTCCCTGACCTCCCATGTTTAGGATCTGTCTGAAAGGAGTTTCTTCCCACCGAGGAGAAGAGCCTTTGCGGAGCAATGAGGAGGGCACCAAGTGACCCAGAACAGCAACAGTGCTCATCAAAGGCAGCTTCTGTGCTCAGGGCTCTGAGAATATTCTGGGCTACTCCCCTCAACAATCTCTGCCTGTGATCGGTAAAGATGTCTCGAAAATGAAAATTCCTAAATCAAATATAAACAAAACAAATGAATGCCCCATCGAGCGCCTCAGAATCACTGTGTACCATGATTACAGGGCTAGCTACAGTCCGAAGTAGGAAAAATAATTAGAAGATTAATTGATGAGATATTGGGAGTGTGGTCTACCCCAGGTAAGATGGTAGCATCAAATTCATTATGTATCTAAGGAAGACCTCGAACTTTATTTATTTTTTTTTTTTCTGGTCTGT